AAGACCTGACACCTAATTCGCATCAAAGTTCAACTTTACAACACCCTTTAACTCCCCTCCCGAAGTAAGCTCCTTGTTCGACCGTTAAAAGTGAGCGAAGGCCGTTATATTTATTTTAGTTTATTGGATCAATATTCTTCTTAACCTTCTGCCCAACAATATTTGCCCAACTCTTGTCTTGGTCACTTTTGAGATTTTAAATCTCAGTACTCAGTATGGCATTGTTGGTTTACCCAATTTTTCCAAATCATTGCCTTTTATCAGATTCTTCATTTGTTTCAGCTCATCTAAATTTAAAGCATTTAAATCATTGATTTTCCCAATTTTTACTTCAATTCTAACATTGTTATCTTTAACGACATTAGTCAGCACTTTAACATTTTTCAAGCACCTTCAGACAGCAGTTGCAGTCACTTCCCGTTTTCTGTATTCGTAACCACACCGAAAGATGCATTGTTTAATACCGCATTTAAAGTGGGAAACAGCTTTACATTGAAAACATTTTATTTCATCTTTCTCTTCAACCAACTTCAAACACTTGAGGCATTTGAAAGCTATAATCAGAGACGGACTAGGACCAAAAATTGGCCCGGGACTTTTGAAATTAATTGGCCTTAAACTTTTAAAACAAATCACTTTCCAGATTAGCACTTGGGTGAATCAACTATGCCATACTGAGTACTGAGATTTAAAATCTCAAAAGTGACCTAGACATGAGTTGGCACTGTTTTTGAAGCTATTAAGGTAGAGAAAGTCACATCGTCTCAATATCTAGGGGATGTTCTGGATTGTACTGGAACAGCTTCAGCTGCTGTTCGAGCACGCATACGTGCAGCCTGGAATAAATGGCATCTCCTTGCCTTTATATTGATGCGGCGTGACATCCCATTACCACTACGATCAAGACTTTATAAATCTGTGATAGGTCCGGTGTCGTTATATGGTGCAGAAACATGGCCAATGACAACCAAACTGGAACAACAACTTCAACGAACCGACATGAAAATACTCCGATGGATGCAACGAATTTGTTTGAAGGACCACATCAAATCTACCGAAATCCTGCGTCGTGCTGGTTTAAATGATATAAAGGACGTATGCCGGCAACACCGTCTGTGGTGGTTAGGTCATGTCAAACGAAGTGGAAACAGTGCCATAACTTCTCTTGCAGATGTTGAAGTACCTGGCACACGTCCCAAAGGCCGTCCAAAGAAGTCCTGGCCGCAAACAATCGAGCAAGACATGAAAGCTCTAAATTTAAATGAAATGGATACAACTGATCGTCTAATTTGGCGCAAAAAGTTGATGGCAAAGAAAACAACGTCCTACCTCGGGAAACCGGGTCTCTGGACGCAAAACGAAGATTGATTGACTTTCCAGAGACGTAGTTATAAATAGTGTCTGAGGATCTTGACCACACCTTTTTGAGCAAATTTTTTTCTCAGGATATGGACGAGATCATATAAAAAAACTAAGTTCATTTATTGATTTTATAAACAAAATTTTTTTGAATTCCATAAAAATCTGTTTTTAACATTACAATAAAATGTTATTTGATCTTTAAAAAATGATAAAATAATACCATAACAAAAGTAATTGCTTTCATTAAAAATAAACAGATTTATTTCGTTGTCTTCTTCAATTCTTTTCTTTGTTAATATCTTTAATTAAAAAATGAACTTTCAAAAACTAAATGTTAAGCAATCAACGAATTTTTATAAAGCATCATTTGATTCAGTAAGCTGATTGATAATTTCTTCGTTGTCTAAAATTTATTAATAAAGATTTTTCTGTGTTCATCAGCACGAATGATTCCAAATTGTCTTGTGACAAGCTGCTTCTTATACTTGTACGCCATTCCAATTTTAGAATAAGCTTCTCTCATTAAGTTGTACTACAATATGACAAAATAGCAACAATTTATGCAATTTTTACACGAAACACGATGTTTGATCCTCATTTTCTGTGTTCTCAAAAACGTAGTTGCTCAATATCGAATCTTTTATTTTCTCCCAGTTTACTGCTAAGCTTTTGAGTTAATTCGTAAATTTTCCGCAGCTTGAATCACCAACTTGAATCACCAAAAATCATGAAATGCATACTTAATTCATTTAGGGCTGTTATTGAAGGACCTTCTTTATTTAAATATTCGAAGTTTTCTGGGTTCAACAATGTGAAATCTGCTTTAAGTCCACGCGTTTCCCTGTACCTTTTGGTCATACTACATGCAATATTGGTAAATATGACATCATGCACATTTTTTTACACGCATCTACCAAAGAAATATTCGGTTCATTAAATTTCGTTTCATTTTCACCCGGTAAAATTTTTTCATTTCTATCCGTTTTCACGTTTTTCTTGTAGTGCGTTTTCCATTTCCAAATTGTATTTCTCTAGCTTTTCATTCATTTTTAAAAGTTTCAGAAATTTTTGACTCTTGATTATACGTTGAGTTGACTTTGAAAGTCATACAAAAATAGATTTTTGTCAGCCCAATTTTATAGTCATCCAGTTGAACAACCGGCCAATTTTATCATTTTTGTACCGGAACACCGGGATTACTCACGGTGCTCTCGTTGGCTAATCAGCCATTTGCCATATTCAATTAGTAGATAAAATAAAAAAATCAGCTTATTAAAAATAAAAAAAATCAGCTTATTAAAAATACATAAACAAACATATTGTTTCTGGAAAGTTAGCAGCCGGCGAAAAAATAGAATAAAAATTATATCCTCCTATTCTTATAAATTTTTTTACTCTAACAAACAAAACCAAAATTAAACCGAACACTCTGCAGTATCCTATAAAACTTTAGAAAAACATAGAGAAAATCGAAACAACCAGCTAGCGATATATATAAATATATATATATATGTATGTATCGGATTACGACTGTCAGAAATGCAATTATTGATGAAAATCACAGCATCTTCTGCATTAGTTAACTCCCTGTTTAACTTTTCGATTTTTCTAACGGTTGATCGTAAATCATTTACATAGTAAAATTAGTACGCATTTTTGTTAGACTCGAAAGCCTTGCAAGCGCCTCGCAGTTTAAATTAAGAAACTAAGACAAGAGACGGACAGCATGTGTTGTGTAAGTTGCTGTCCTAGATTAAAAAACTTCGTTAAACAAAAATGCAAAGATCTTATTCATTTGACAATAACTTTTTTAATATAACTCTAATCAAAAAATAAATATAAAATAAAAAACAAGGTATACTAATAATCATTTCGACAAAAGTAATGGTAAACGTAGTTTCAAAAAATGATTCAATATATTAAATATTTTGTTTGATTACTTAGTCTTGTGTTAGCTCGTGACTTTGATTAATTACATCTACCGTGTTCTGATATATGAACAAAATTTCACGCTTAAATAACAAATAAATGGTGGCCATAATGTATCAAAGTTATGACAATAAAAAATAAAAATATGCTTCATTCATCGAATCTTTTAAAAGACGTCACAGAGTACAAACTGAACAATAATTATTGTGAAGTTGATGTTTTGGAGTAATTGACTAGATAGGATGGGAAAGAGCACTTCATGACCTGTGTAATAAATTATTTAATAAAAATGAAACAACAAATAAAATAAATAAAACATAATAAATTAATATTATGGATTGGTAAACTCGCGATAATTGTGCAAATCATCTAAAACAGCAAAAAACCATGAAAACGTAAAATGTAGCGCTTGATTCGATTATACGCAAATTAACATAGAAAATGTTGTAAATTAAAGTTGCTTCCAATACCTAAATATTTTAAAAAAGCCAAGTAATTATAATAAAACCTTTTCATTCATCTTGCTATATTGGAAGAAATGATTTATGAACGAAACCAAACAAGTCATTTCTGAGTCGTTTGAGCTGCATGACAACAATTTAAAAATTTAAAAAAATACAGGTAGTACACGATAATTAATTTAAAATTCTATACTATTCACAAAATATCCTCAATTTCGGACCATGCACATGCTTTAAAAAGTTGGTAGCACGTATTTGTGTTTAAAATATAAAAAAATTTGAACATGAGAACAAAGGAAGATAGTTAGATGACGTGATTCTTGCGCTACGTTAAACTAGAGCAAGATTTGAAAGACTACGCAGTTGCATGGCAGATGGTTAAATTAAATCATAGCTCAAGTAGTTCTTGCATTTTACCTTTATATTTCTCAACTTCAAGATTTCTTTTTTTATTCTTGTGTTAAAGCCAGTTTTATGAGTTCTTACACTTGCACAAAATAAAGAGTTGTTTGAATAACAAATTAAAAGTTAAAGAAGAAAATATGAGACAAACTTTTGTGGTTGGACAAGTGTCTTAGCATGTTTACTGAGTATCATAACAAATTCAAGACTTGATTTGAGATGGTACTGCTTCATAATTGTGACGATGCCCACTACAAAGGGAATCCCATCAATACAGTCTGACATTCTTTTACTATTTAATGAGTCATCTAAAGTTTATGTAATAATTACAATTGGTTAATCTTTACAAATGTATTTAGTTAATGTTTGCAAGCTTATTAGTGGCTGAGATCGCCTTGTGCTGTTTCGCAGTAACCGGGTTCGAATATGACAAAAAGATCCCCACTTATTACATGCTTTGTGTGTGATGCATCATTTAGCATGTATTCATATACGACGTTTGTGCGCGTTGTTGATTCCTCTGACATTTGGAAGAGTGTAATTGACCTTAAACCTTTAATCGTTGGTAACAATTTAAAAAAATGTCATTTATCTTAAATCGCTCCTCTTCATTTCTTCACACACGCCAAAACACACACGAAAACCCACACAATGTAAAAAAAATACACATTTACATTTTTTATTTATTCATACCCTATTTTCAAATCACTCAGTCTATTCTGAATTCCTCATAAAAAGAAATGTTAATTATATAAAACAAAAGATGCAAATACAAATTATGAGATGTTAAGCAGTTATTAGGAGCCTGAAATTATAAACTACATTAAATATTTACTAACAAAAATAAAAAAGAAAATCGTTTGAAAAAAAGACGCAAAATTACAATTAAGTCTTTGTAGAAGGCTTGAGATCATGATGAAGTTGAACAATGATACCCTCGGAGAATTCTCTGCACTTATGTAAACCTGTAAATAGATAACCAAAATCGTTAAAATAAAATTGCAATATAGACAGAAAACTGGTGAGTACAATTGATCGGTATAAATGTTTAAAAGTGAACTTTTGAAAAAAAATAAAACAAAAACCTTATCCAAAGGATTAGATAAACCAGACGATTCCATATAATTGGACAATTCATAGAGAAGAGAGGATGATTCGAAAGCGGCATTGTTGGGATTTGTGCACTGCAGCTCTATTTTAGACAGTAAAATACTGTTGATAAAAATGTTCATCGGCTATGTAAACAATCATTACCATGTAATTCAAACTAAGATTAATCAAGAAATTAGTACAAATCTCAAAAAATAATTCAAAGATATCGAGAAGTTTTAGAAAACTTAAAAAAAAAATCTCGAACAAATCATACTCATTCATGTTCTGTAATGCAGAATAGAAGAACTTGGATTCAAATTTGCAGGACGACGAGAGCTGGTAGTTAATCAGCCTTTTTAACAGCTGCATTTGTCCGATCTGAAAATATTAGCTAACGGTCATGATGGAGGTTGATGATGTAACTTTTATGTTGAAATAACGATTCAATGTCATTCCACAGTAAAATTACTAAGCCATTGATTTAAAAGAAAATTCCATTATCATGCACAAAAATATAATAAAATGTATACAGTGGACAGTCGTATTGTAATGGACATATGTATTTATTTATTTAAACTCACTCCTAAACATTGCTCGGAGAATAATTTACATAAACGTACAAAAAGATTTTTCTAAAGTAGTACATTAACTATTACAAATGATACAACTAACCAGAGCAGCACATACAAAAAAAGTACAATGCAAAAGACAAAATCATCAGCAAAACCAGCTAGTCAAAAACAGTACCTTACATGATAAATAAGAAAACAAAATTATAAGCATCAAGTAAATAAAAAATAAAAAAATCTAAAGTAAATAAAGCACTACTAATAACAACAAGCAGCAATAATAATAATTTCAACAATGCAAAAATAATCAAAAATAAGCTTAAGAAGATAATATTTAGGACGGCGACGAAAAGCTGTTAGAGACTTTAAAGTACGAAGGTGCAACAGCAGATGACGGGATGAAGATGGTTGAGGATAGTAGAATATGCAAATGCTGTTTGTCTGATTGCAGAATGCATGGAAAAGATTGTAGTACTGTTGGGAGGCTTGTCAGAAGAAAGCGGAAAAATTTGGGTTGAAAGTTAATATGGGAAAACTCTAAATGATGCCAGTTTCAAAACATCAAATAAGACCATAAAGAAAAAACACTGAAATAGTCCAAATTCGCTTAAAAATACATCGCTTCTAGTTCGCTTTTGTGAATCTGAGAAGCACAGATGTAGAGTGGTGGACAGATGTAGGGTGGTGGACAGATGTGGGTGGTGGACAAATGTGGGTGGTGGACAGATGTGGGTGGTGGACAGATGTAGTGTGGTGGACAGATGTAGGGTGGTGGACAGATGTAGTGTGGTGGACAGATGTAGGGTGGTGGACAGATGTGGGTGGTGGACAGATGTAGTGTGGTGGACAGATGTAGGGTGGTGGACAGATGTGGGTGGTGGACAGATGTAGTGTGGTGGACAGATGTAGGGTGGTGGACAGATGTGGGTGGTGGACAGATGTGGGTGGTGAACAGATGTGGGTGGTGGACAGATGTAGGGTGGTAGACAGATGTAAGGTGGTGGAGAGATGTAGGGTGGTGGACAGATGTAGGGTGGTGGACAGATGTGGATGGTGGACAGATGTAGTGTGGTGGACAGATGTAGGGTGGTGGACAGATGTAGTGTGGTAGACAGATGTAGGGTGGTGGACAGATGTGGGTGGTGGACAGATGTAGTGTGGTGGACAGATGTAGGGTGGTGGACAGATGTAGTGTGGTGGACAGATGTAGGGTGGTGGACAGATGTGGGTGGTGGACAGATGTAGTGTGGTGGACAGATGTAGGGTGGTGGACAGATGTAGGGTGGTAGACAGATGTGGGTGGTGGACAGATGTAAGGAGGTGGACAGATCAGTTATAGGCGGATGTACAATGTATAGAAGGAAACATATTATACGCTGGTAACCTTTTGAATGGCGAATAGTTGTTAGCAAAAATTAATATTTCATTCTCTAAAAATATGATATACTTTACAATTTTAAAACAAAAACTAAAGAAATGATACAAAACAATTAATAAAAAATATTAATCGAAACTCGCTTTGAGCATGTTGTCGATGTAGAATGAGGAGAACTTGCCGAACTTCGCATGACATGTGCCCAGAACTTTTTGCGACTGAACTGTTGGAAATAAAAATCAACAAAACTAAACTAAATGTTAAGTCAACCAGAAACTTACCCAACAATTGATTATAAGATGTTATATATTATATTATTTATTTTTATAGCGTCACGATTTGGTTTACAAACGTAAGAAGTTGATAAGAAAGTTAGAAAACTTGAAAAAGAAGCCTAACAAACCGATATCATCGATCGAATTTAACAAAATATGTATGAAAGAACACACACACACACACACACACACACACACACACACACACACACACACACACACACACACACACACACACACACACAAACACAAACACACACACACATTGAAAACATTTTTTAAATATTTAATAAATTGTATTGAAACTTTGAATAGCTAATCTATTTTGTTTCATAAAAGTCTGACCAGTAAGTTGATAGCCATTCTCCTCGGCGTTAAACTGGCCTGCTAATTTGTCAATCATTTCCAAGTTCTGTTTATCGGAAGCAATAACTTTTTTGTGAACAAACGATGTATAGGTTTGTAAAGTTTGGACAATCATGAAACTCAAGAGTCTGTCTAGACCGGCAAGACCCCACGTCCCAAGAGATTTCTGGAAAAATTTTTTAATTACCACTTGTCAAATGCTATTTCTCAATTTTCTTAAAATGCTCATTTTCTAATTTGCCAACAAATATAGGTAAGTAAGTAACCAATTTTTTTTAAAAAGTATAACAAGATGATTATTGATTTTTTTTATTTAAGCGACTTTCATGACAAGAAAAAATTTAAAATTTAATTAAAAAATATAACCTCAATTTTTTCAAAGAGTTTCAAATTAACCACTTCTTGCTTAGTTTTAATATCATACCATGTACTAGTTATGTTCGAATAGACTGAACACCTAGAAATGCAAAAAATATTTAGTCTAAATATTTTTTATAAAATTAATAAATAAACAAATAAATAAATTATCAACGTATAAATTGTTAAAATAATTATATTCTAGAAAATTTCAAATTTTAAAAATATCAATAACGCATCAAAAAATATTTAGACTAAATATTTTTTGCTCTACATGAATGTTACTTGTGAGCTACTTCAACTATAATAATAATAATAATAACAACAACAACAACAATTATAATATATATTATAAAATTAATAAATAAACAAATAAATAAATTATCAACGTATAAATTGTTAAAATAATTATATTCTAGAAAATTTCAAATTTTAAAAATATCAATAACGCATCAAACACCAGCATTTTTAATTCATCCCTACATTTCTCTACAGCTTCAAATTAATTCATGATTTGTAACTGTTTTCGTAAAAAGAAATTGTTGACGCAGGAGTTAAATTTTATAAGCTCCAGTCAGCTCAGATCGGAGGACTTCATTCGTCGATTCATTTCCTGCTGCTTATTTATGTTTGATGATCCACATCTTTTCTCGCTTCTCACTCTTCCCACTCCATCACGGATAGATCAAATCACCTCGCTGCCCGCTTTCTGCTTTCATAGTTTCTATTTTCCATGATTGAAGACAGCGGGAAAAATGGTTGCTTATATTGAGAAGAAAAGCATTGATCGAGGAGGTGACGTCAAAGTTGAAACTCACGTAAAATGCTATTTAATGTTTGTTTCTCTGACATAAATGTATTTTGCTAACATAAAATGATCTCAAAGCATTTTTAGACTATCGAATAACTTAATTGCCGAGCGAAGATCAATGACAGGAAGTACTGAAAAATTTCAATTGAATAAATGAGAGAACAGTGTCGTGCCTCGGGGAACCGGATCTCTGGACGCAAAGCGAAGATTGATTGATAGTGTCGTGCCTAATGTTATTTATAAGAAGCACGCTCATCAGATAATTGACAATTAAAACACAAAAATATGCATGCAAATTGTTAGCAATGCATCTATCCTCATTGGATAAAATCATTCGGTTTCAAGACACTCTAGCTGAACCATCTCGTCAGGTATTTAATGACAACTCCTTCAGAACAACTCGCAATTAAGATTATACAAAGCTCTGTAATCAACAAAATTTAATCTTCATAATCAACATATGATTAGATAAGTTTAAAGATCTTATACACTCTTCTAAAATTGACAACTGAGCATGTAAATACATAATAAACGACGCATTACACACAGAGCAGGTGACAAGCGGGATCCCATTTCGTATTCAAACCTCGTTACTGTGGGCACTGCAAAACAGAACCGGGCGTCTTCAACCATTAGGCCATCACGCAGTGCAATCCGGTACATTAACGAGATAATGGAATTCTTAGAATCAACATGATTGCATTCCGTCTATTCTGAAAATTGCAGATAAATAAAAATATTAAAAAACAAATTACCTAGAATCTGTGACTCGAAGTATCTCCCTGATCAATCTGCCGATGAAAGTGATTGAGCAATCGATTGACGGGAAGCTTGGGATGGGAATGTTCTGTGACTGGTGGACACTCTGCCAACCTAGCACCTGATGTAATTCAATAAGCATTCAGTATTATATCAACCATTTTTTATATGACAAAAACTATTTATGAATGTTAAATATTTTTGCTAGTTAAGTGTACGGATGGATTGACATTATCTTGATATATTTCATTTTCTTTTATACTTGGGTCGTCGGGTAAATATTATGTAGGTATGGTGGAAGCGTTTTGGACAAAAAGACATTTAACAAATTTTAAATAAGGGCATATGAACAAGTGCTTGTTACAAAACCTACCGCTATCCATTTTGAAAAGTTTTTATAATACTGAGCCTATGTTGTTCGTTAATTGTTGAATTGAACAGCTTTTGACAGACGTTTCTCTTTGTATTCCAAAAACATTTTTTAAATTGAGTTAAAATTTATTTTGAGTGTATGTGAATTGCTCTGAACTAATGTGAAGTGAAGAGGTGCACCGGATAGGGCTTCTTGATACCCGGTCGGAGTCGGATTTGGCCTGACAGTAAAACAAGATATCCGACAGGAGCCGAAGCCAAACAGCGTATTTCCGTGAAAGCAAAAGAACTATACAAACGGTAACACACGACATGCGTAGTTATGCTCATTTTGCAAGTAAAAATAAAACTAGTGCGTTGCATTGTTGCGTGGAAAGAAACAAAAACTATCCGGCACATGGACAATGTTCTTAAAAGCTTCAAATAAGATACAATCTTCGTCACCGCTTGCATTCTTATTAATTAGACATGCTGAGAAGCAAGCACCTGACCACGCGTATGCACATTTATAATATTTATTTTTTATTACCACTAATTGTCGTTATTATAAAACGTATTCAGTGCAAATTCACGTGTGATAGACACAATGTTTTATTGCGAATATATATAAAGCTCAGAGATCAAAATAATTTGCATACCTGTGACATCTAAAAGTGAATTTATTATATTTAAGCGCACGAAAAAAATAACGTTCACATCATAGTTTATACATAATAATGTAAATGCAAACGCTAGAATATACCATCAACATCCTGCCAACCATCCTGCAATGATATCCAGTCCGAGTCGATCATGGTCGGGGTGAAAAAAAAGCCCGAGGACCCTTATTGTGAACTAATGTAAACTAATGTGAATTGATGCAAACTAATATTACCTGCTCGCGACGCCCAAATTTTACATTCAATGCACCTACAAAAAGTCAGGCATAGCAAAACTTGACGAGAACTGGCAGTCCTCGGAAAAAATCCAAGTTTTTATTAAAAAGTATGATTTTTTGACCAGGAAAAGTAAATTTTTAAAGACCAACGTTTCCCCTTATTATATAATTATTACATAATTATATTTCTATTATTTCATACATGAAAAAACCCAAAAAGAACCGAATAAAACAATGACCAACTTTATTCCTTAGAAAACTGTTACATTCTTGCTCTATGTTAAAAGTTATGATGCGAGATATTTCTTCTTGCCAAATTTTCAATCCACACACATCCACGTAATCTTGGATGTACTCAAACGATCTATGATAACCATCAACTATGTATCCCAACTCATCCAATTTTGTGAAGAGTTCATTGTTCTACAGGGCATAATTGGTTAGCAACAATACAAATGGTTAAAATATTCAAAAAACACAATGAAAGTATTAATGCTTCAACAAATTTATTTTAAAGTTAAATCGTCAAAATATTTAGAGTTGCTCATCAAAATTCCATAGCGCTAAACGTTTTTTAGCTTTTTGGGCTTATGTTGATGAATGATTTTTAATAATGACTTTACTATTGAAGAATTCATTTAGATTTGGACATTTTCCTGACTCATTTTCCTTTGAGGCAATAAAGCAGGTTTAAAAGGATGAATTTTTATGATAAATTTTAAATTTTCCTCGCTTTTGTTATATGATTAGCATTACTGACAACAGTTTCAAAATCATCATTATTTAATGGCTATTTTAAAACCTAAGGTATTTTAAACTCAATGAAAAAATGACTGAACGACCTCCACCGTGGTCCAAGAGTATTCAGCTTATAATACAACGTTAAAGATGACTTACATAAATAACTAATTATTTTAGATTCATAATACGATTATAATTTGCAAATGAAAAAATAAACAGTGATTGTTAAAATTGTTTGGACTAATAAATCGCAATTAACAAACTTGCCTTGGCTTTAAAAACTAAAGTTTCGTTGAGAGCTCTGGAAACTCTCATAACCAATTCTTTTCTAATCCCATCCTCCAAAAGACGTTTGGGATCGATCTAAATTTTTAAATTTTTAACTGCCTTATAAAAATTTAAACAAACCAAATTAAAAATGTTAACATAGAGTGGTAGAGAATGGGAGAAAGAAGATAGTTTGTAAATAATATCAAATATTCTGTGTTTAAAACAAGCATAAATCATTCCAGAAAACATGAAAACATCAAATTTCAATAGCACATAAGTTCTTCCTCGCATCACTGCCTATCACGCATAACTAAAATCTACAACATCCATCATATTTCATCTATAAATCAAAACATCAGTTGCAGTGACCATTTAGTAAAATAGTAACTCCCTACTATCTGTTATTATGTTAAATAATAAAAGGTATTTATAAAATAAATTTTATTATTTAAGAAAACGGTGAATGCCCAGTGTCAGTTCAGCGGCACAATAAAAGTTATTTAAAGTTGTACGCTTGGAACTTGAGGAGCAGTGCATGGAAGGAAAACAAAATTGTAAAGAAGTAAAATTTCAAGAAGTGAGGTTCGGGAATGAACAAATCACGAAAACAAAAATGTTGATCATTATGATGAGGAACCTTGATTACTCCAACCAATGTTTGCTTCATCATCAGCATACCTTCTGCAAATATCGAAATTGAATTCGTCAGTTTGGCAACCTGGATTAAAATAAGAGATAAGTGGCTGCAAATTTGTAAACTCACAAAAGTTGTTGATCAATTAAGTTGGATGTTTAATATTCAATTCAAACAACAAATAATAAAAATGTAACAAAAATATAAATGAAAAAAAAATTAGTTGAAGATCAATTGAGCGTCAAACAAATAAATAAAATGAATTATGCAATGTTATTTCGGAAATCTGAAGACAGAAGTTATTGAAATAATATAAAAAATCAACAATTCCGTTAACTTCATATCTTTCATTTAGCTGAGCATAATCTTTCATCTTTTCTTTGTCAAGCCTTGTGGGCACCTCTTTGATGCTGCTCGTCAATAAGTTTATGATGCGAGCTAACAATGTGAACATTGTTTCTGGAATTATCTGAAAATTAAGCAGACTAATTATTAACAATAAAAATATATGCTAGAGTAATAATATTAAAAATTGTCAATAAATAATTAATTAACAGAACAAAGAAATAAACATTCAAATAATGCAACCTTTTTAAACGGCATTTTCATCAACAATTTGTACAATTTTATAATTTCATACTCGTAAGACAAAGATGACTGTATTTAAAATAATGATTTTCAACAAGAAAGATATCTAACTGTTAATCAAAGATTCATTTAAATCTCGTTACAAAAACTATTTCTAAAAAGAAACATAACAAAAAATGTTTTGAAACCTGCAAAACTTGTTGAACATAGGCAACTAGCTCCTTTGAATAATATTCTGAAACGCTCACTAAATCCAAACTGTTTGATTGGTTGATTCGTAACAGTGGAAGATCTAAGGCCGATGCTAACTGTTGCATCGAAAAACAGAAAAAAATATCAAATTCAAATATTTTCGGAAAATTATGAGATGTGAAATGTATTCTCTGATTCATGTCTTCCAGCAGGTTGATTCAAGAAATTGCATAAAGACATAAAAAAATATATCTACGGTACGTCAGACAGTATTATCAGCGATTGATGGTGAAAATGAACCAACAATGCCATGACATTCATAAGTTGAAAAATTAAATTCATGTTAATTCAATAGTTGAAAAACTGACTTTAAGGAAGGTGGCTCTCAGTTTGATAACAAGAGAAGGGTCCTTGATTATTCCCCTCTGCATCTCATCTGTGTAACTGTTTAAATTATTAAGAATGAATAAATAAATAAATTTTTTGTTATGCTGACGACACCGGTGCTCTGGCCAATAGGCAAGATTTAAAGAGCCTCCTCGAAGTTACAGAGAAAAATTATGTACGCAACTTCGTGGTTCTCACAAAATAAACTTACTTTGAGCAGCTCTAAAACACTCAGATGATAATTTCCAGCCCAACTCAATAACAAAGTCATAAAGAATCGTACATGATTGCAACTGCTAATTTCGAAACAAAAAAATAAAACTGTCAAATTTTTAAACGTTCAACTGGATCAAAAATTAGCTTTTCAAACGCTTTCAAAAAATGTAAAACCAAATTAAGCAAAAAATCCAAAATAATACAAAAACGAAAGCAAATAGTTAAAGTTGTTGAATTTGAAACGCACTATCTTTAGTTCACGATACTATTATAACTGAAACTTTTGTCTTTTTTGTGTCAAATTTATTACGATCGTTATTGCATATTATTCGTTGTGATTCGTTGCAATTCGGCGTCGCGACTGGTAAAACAGGATTAATGGGCGAACACTCGATTGACAATGAAATGCATTAATAGCGCTGCCCTCGTATGCAGAGCAACATTTACTTAATCGGCTGAGGCAGGTTTCTTCGTTCGTTGGCTTTATGTAAGTTGATGTTTGACAGGATGTTTGACAGTTTGACATTGGATCTAATCAATCAACGAAGATTGATTGATAGATGTTTAACAAGCATTGTTGTCCGTGTCAGTTTGTATTAATATGTCAAGAGATGCAATGTTGTTGGCATGTTCTATTGCAAATTTTATTTGCTTTTATTGAATTCGGTTGGTAGAATCGTGTTGGGGTTGGTGGATGTGTTAAGAAATCGTACCAAATGATCAACGCAAGCAATGCTATGGAATTCATCTCAGAAGGTCTTATTCCCATATATACATAAATATATCACTCGAAGATATTTGAAACGTTCCATCAAGTCAACCATGTGAATCAGCAAACTCATGCCTTGGGTGATACATTGGATCTAATAATTTTAGTTCACATGATTTTTCAGGGTATAGTATAAATTTTTCCACATCCAGTATATTTTGATTACAGTTGTATAAAGGTGAAGGCAATGACGGCATATTCCATCAGAAAGATAACAAAAAAGTATGTTACATCATGGAAGGACCTTGATGAAAATGGTTTTGTTGAAGCTCTCTCAAGTACTCCTGTTACGCAATCATGTCAGACTATTGATGTAGATGGTGAACATGCTGTATTCAACGGTGAGTTACGACATATTGTTGATAGATTGGTTCCACTTCGTGGGATTTATTGCAAATAGAAAAATGCTGCTCCGTGGTTTCACGATGAGTGCAGAAAAGCCAAGCAGTACTGTTGAAAAATGGAAAAACTCTACAGAAACAACGTTAAGTAAAAATAATAAATGGATATTTTCTTAAAAACAAAATAATGGACTTTTTTCAGATGAACGATAACGGTATTGGGACAATCTGATTAATGGTAACAAAAATGCAAAAAATCTCTGGTGTGGCAAATAAAATTCTGTGAAAAAATTCAAAAAGTTGTCTGTCTCACGATGACACTACGTTAAATTCTAATCAGAAAACGCAATTTTTTTTATAAGATTGACAATGTTATAAAACAACAAATCCTGTGCTTGACAGATTAATGAAGAAGAGTTTACCCTCAAAATTTTCACTCTCTAGTTTCCTGCTAGTTAAAGAGGAGATGCAGCTTAAAAGCATTATATTTAAATCACCGTCAGAGATGTTCTTTAGCGAGTTTATACCAACAGACATTGTTAAAAAGTATTTGGATTTATTCATCTGTTTTCTCAAAAGTTTCATTAATTTGTGTTTACGATTTGGAAGATTTCCTTCTATTTGCAAACAAGTATTGAAAAAAACTAACTTAGATCCCAACAACGTCAACAATTATCGGCCAATATCAAACCTCTCATTCATCTCTAAAACTCTTGAACGAGTTGTAGTGACAAGCCTACAAAAACTATTCGGCAGGCAACAATTAAATGCCAATTTATCAACCTGGCTATTTCACTCAAGCGAGACTGCATCATTGCATGTTCTGCCAAGTTTATATATGCTGCGATGGGTGACCTGAAAATATCGTTGCTGTCATTTCTCGATATGTTGTCTGCGTCCGATTGCGTAAATCATAAAAGTAAGATTTTGATATCTTCGGTACTGCACTCGCTTCGTTTGATTCTTACCTGCCAGGTCGTACTCAGCAAGTTGTATTTAAAAACTTGTTGTCAGATGTCAAAGGAGTTACGACAGATGTCCCTCAAGGATCAGTTTTGGGATCTGTCTTGTTTATGTTATATACATCTGATGTTGCTAAAATAATAAATTCCTATGGATTTGTCTGCCATGCATTTGCTGATGACCGGAGTCTTTCCAAGCAGAGATTGAGGCATTGGCAAATTGATCATTCTGGCGGTTATAACAATATATATATAGCAAACATTAAGTGCAAAAACGATAGCTTCAGTAAAAATACAATTTTATAAAACGTATTTGGGAAAGCATTGAATAATTGAAGAAATATAAAATAATAATTGAATAAAAGAAAATTAAAGTAAAATAACTAATGAGTGAATTTTATAAAAACTGATCAGTTTATAAAAAATTCCTAGAATTAAAAATTTTTAAACTGGAAATTTCAATAAATGACTTGCCTATCAATGATCTTCCAGGCATATGACACATCTGCAACAATTTGCAGATTAATCAACGATTCCTCTTTTATGTTGATAATTTTAATCATTTGATGCATATACGATCGTGTGTCCGTCAAGAACTGTTTAACCTGCATTATGTTCTCCAGCTGATGGAATTCTTGCACCTGGAGCGATGATGATGATGATGTGCGTGATGAACATGAGCGACTTATTTTGAAAAATCGATAGCGATGTTTAAGTACCAGGTATTTCATGACCAGTGAGTGTCATTCTAATATCAAAACTTCGATGTTGACATGGTGGTTACCGATTACAACCGATTTCGGTAATTTTGAAAAATCAATAGCGATGTCTAACCAGTGAAACTAAAAATGACCGAATTAAATATTGATATAAGTAAGTTATCGATATTATAAGTAATTTTAAGGCTAAAATAGGTTCGACGAGATAACTGGATAACGTGGCTTAAGAGCATGTAAACAATGAAGAGATAGAATTAAAGTCAATGTATTTCTAGGCAAAAAAAGAGGACAATAGACAAGATTTTGCTAACTGCCAGCTACGAAAAAATGTAGAGAAAATAACAAATTCGAGATAGATTTGCAATCTGTTAAGGAGAACTCTAGCTAACATTTTACCTGCAATAAATAAGATAAGTGTTCCGGTGATCTTCGCAAACAATAAATCAAACCCCCGCACAACGTTAATAGACTTGACTAAAACATCTAATGTCTGCCGGTGGCATATCATATCTGAATCTGGTTGTCCGGACCATTTTATAACAGTGCTGCATCAGTGTTCAAGACAATGGTGATCAATCCAGACAATTTTCTGTCTCAAAAAGTGTAGAACAGAGATGTGTTCATGCGGCAACATTATTTAACATGATGTTTGCTGCCATGTTGTGGATACTTTCAAAAGGAAAGGTTGGACTCGATATCAGATATCGTAAACAAGCAGAAGTGTTTAACCTAAGTAAATAACAGATAAAAACAAAAATCAAATATTGTTGCATAAAGCTTTAAGTGAAATAGATCAATAAAAAAGGCAACTCACCTTGGCAAAGCTTGCAAAAAAAAATGTTGGCCTACATAAACATGAAAAAACATAAAAAGAGTGACGACAGAAGACTGAAGTGATATGAAGACCAATAGAGCAAGCTGAGCCAACAAAAGAAAGAAAAAAAGTAAAAAAAGCATCTACTTATAGCCAGCAACAATGCACGTAGAAAAGCACTAGACGAAAATGTGTAAAATTTTGAAGAAATGAAATCTGGTTGGAGCATTTTGATTCTTTCTCAAAATATTTAAATTATTATAACCTTACGGTTTAAATGTTACTTTTCCATTGCACAAAATAGGTAAAAAATGTTCTAAATTAAAAAAAAACTATCTTGCTTTCATGAAATCCAGCAAAGGTTATTCTTTATAAATATATATGTAATTTTTTTATGAAATGGTGAATTTTGTGAACCATAAAAAATTAGTTAAATCAATGAATTTTTATTAGATTTAATTTGTTATAACTGTTTAATGTGATGTAGACCAGTAGGTCTGCCATCTTCGGATCAGTAAATAATTCAGAACCAATGATGGGTGTCGGTAAATTTCAATGTATGGATTTAGGGGCTCCGGTAGCTTCCATGCCTAATATGATGTCCTCATCTTAATGCTGTCATTTCTCTTAAGTTATAACGAAATATAGCTACCAAACCCTATTCATTCGAAATACTGAACGATTACAATTTAAAAAAGTTAAACGTTCTTAGAACCTCTTCAAGAGCTTGTATAAGTTGAACAATTCGTCTGCCAGCTGCAGTTGAATCGTCATAATCCAATTGGTTAATCTGATTGCTCATCTTGTAAAACCAGTCCTGAAGTTTTGCTTTTTTAAAAAAACGTAAAAACACCGACTTTAATTTATGTCAGAATCTATTCAAAAGACATTTAAATTTACGAATCAATTAATATTTGATAATAATAGAATAATCAGCTCTGAAGAAAAAATTCAGTGATTAAAATCAATAATTATTGATTTAATGAAATCACAAACTAACCATTTTTTTCCACTCTAGTCAGAGGTTTAGCTCCATCAAAGATTTCACTTAATTCCATTAATCTATCAGCAGCTTCCTTTTTATTGTTATCCCACATGAGTTTCTTATCATCCAACATTTTTTTGAGCATCTACCAGAATTATCAGTAAATAATTAAATAACAAATCATTTGAAGCAGTTAAATTGTTTCGATGAATATAACATAGGATACCATTTAGAAATTTCTCACACAACCTCCTTTAGAACCACTTGCCTAAACATACTTCCACACCATCAATTGTTCAACAATTGTCAAAAATGTCACTATTCTCCGTAAAAACATCTTAACAAAATGATTCCTTTTCTTTTAATGTCCTGCCGACTAACAAAGTAAGAAACAGATCAATGGCAATAAGGGCTACATGACACACAGTAACTAAGACTTCAAACTTATATAAAAGAGAGAAGTTTAGTTGTTTAGTTTAAATGTAATTAGTGATCAATCTTCGTTCAGCGTCCAGAGACCCAGTTCCCCCGAGATAGGACGTTGTTTTCTTTTCCATCAATTTTTTGCGCCAGATTAGACGATCAGTTGTTTCCATTTCATTTAAATTTAGCTCGATTGTTTCTGACCAGGACTTCTTTGGACGGCCTTTGGGACGTGTGCCAGGTACTTCAACATCTGCAAGAGAAGTTATGGCACTGTTTCCACTTCGTTTAACATGACCGCTGCTTTGTGGCAAGACCCATTTAAGGAAAGGCCAAACAGAAAATCGATATCACTTGCAGTTGGCTATGAAGACGGTTCTGCTTATTAACTCGGTCTCAGTTCCAACTAAACTGCTGCGTCCATACTGGTCGCTAACACCTGCTGACACCGGCCCTTGTGGAAAAAGAGGGTGTGGCTTGTTCTCACGAAACTTTTCCACCTTAAACTAATTCGATTGTGCAAGTTTTCTCCGATGAATGCTGTGAGTGTAAAAGTCCTGAGGCATCAGGAAAATGACAACGGGCATAAGTAGAGGATACTACTGTGAGTGTCTAACCACTATCCAGCACGTAGGCGGCCTTGGTGTGATGGTCGCACGTTAGTGAAGGCTACAGTGACGTTTAGTCCTGTCTTGGCAACAAAGCAGCCCTAGTGAGAGAGGCACTGCTTTTTCCAACTGGAAAAGGGACTAGATCAACCATTGTCACATTCATAGGCTCGACCAGTTTCATATGAGATGTCTGCGTATGATTGCTAGTATCAGGTGGGAAGACAAAGTACCAAACACAATGGTTATGGAAAAATACGGTACAATGGGTATAGAATTGCTTTTGTTTCAAGCTTAGTTTCGTTAGATAGAGGATGTTATACGTATGCCAGACACAAGAATTTCCAAGCAGGTCTTTTTTGGTCATCGAGAAAATCGACTGGAAAGTGGCCCAAACGTAGGTAAAAAGACAGATAGAAAGAAAATATGAAAAAACGTGGTTTGGACCCCCAAGGCCCTTTGTGTAGATGCTCTGCCGCGCTCGGAATAGAGAAAGTCTACTCAGTCGTCAACAGTTTTCGCTTTTGAACCAGCATGTACTGTTGCTTACGCTAAAAAAAATTCAACGAAAACAGACGGCCCTAAGCGGTGATCGTACAGGTGTATGGATCTGTGGAACATGTGCACGTAAATGTTCGTTAAGGATAGGACTTTTTGCTCATTTTAGGATACATAAAATAGTTTACATATTTATATAAACCAGCATTTACATTCTGGCATAGGCTAATAGGAAACACACGTTTCACTAGTAATTTACAATATTTTCTTTGTAAAACTCAAATTGAGGTTAGACAAAAATAACCTTTTTAAATTTAAGTTCCAAGTCAGCCGTGAAAATAAGCAATTGAAATATTTGATGCTTGCTACATTTGCTGTCCTGCAACAATTGTTCTCTCAACTGGCGGCACTTTTTCGTTGTTTCTTGGTAAATAATAAAAATAATATAAGTTTGCGAAAGAGAAATTATATAATTAATCAAGTCATTTTATTTAAAATTTTTTTTCCTATAAATAGCTTTGCACTGTCACAAATACGCATTACATTTCTTTGAAAAATTAGTAACAAACCAGTCGTTTAACGCAAATTAATCATAAGACCATCTCAATCATTCAATGCTTAAGGTCTAGTTTAAACATAATTTGTAGATTAAGATGATTCCTGAGAAACAATATTGTGAACCCTTTCAATTATTTAACGCTTACCTGACTTAAACCGATGATAATAAATGGTTAATATTTAAATTTATTGATACATTTTTCATAATTTTCATCTTCCCCATCATCTCCACCATTCCATGATATCCGTGTACACAATTGGAGTCTAACCATACTTTTACGTCTGATCAAATTTGTATGTAATTTTAATTTTACTATTTTCTTTTTATTATTTTTTAGAAATTAATGATTGAAAGCTTAGTTGAACCAATATGTCTCCAATTCGTTTAAAGACTTCTAGAACTGAAAGATTAGTTTCCTGCATATTGGTAAATTATTCAAAATCTCAGACGAACAACATCAATTCACACGAAACAGATCGCAGAGCACGTCCTATGTTGACATCAGACTATCAAATAATCAGGTCCACCACCATGGAGGCAACTGCAAGCAACCACCACCAGCTTCTACATCTTGAATCAGTAATCAATAAAGAACTTTTAATTATCCTGTCACATGATTTTGTCTATCTAACCCAATAACCAACCTTGCAGCAGCGTTTTGAAATCGTTGAACACTTTTAGCCGCACTTCCACAGCCGCACCATTCATAACTTAAATACAATAATCAACCTACATAATACAAACGAAATTAACCAACTTGTAAAAATGTTAGCTAGAAGAAATTTTGGTTGTTGTTGCCCTGTTTCATGACTGGCTCATCAATCTAGACGAGATCCAAGCAAGTTTGCAGCCGCAGACCGGTTTCTCCAGAGATCCACTATAGTGAGTGATGTATAGTTACTGGGGCAAAAAAAAGGCACAGGAGACAAATGTTGTTGATGCTTTGGAGCAACAATCTTCTCGTGGTGGAGCCGATTTTGACAAAGCTCATATAACCTACTCGTCATCATTCCAACAGACTGTTGCAATAAACTCTCTTTGCCAAGAAGACATTTTTTGATGAGTTTTAATTATCGCCGTAGCTAAAAAACAAGTACCAAGTTTCGCGGTCCGAGGTTGCTAATGCATTATTAAACAAGAAATTTTTAATTTGCTACAACCTATTATATTACACCTCTCGTATTACCAAGTAAGGGTAGAGCCCTTCTAGATCCTAACTGGATTAATTCTGCTTTGTCACGATTCAATTTCAGGTGATTCAAATTTAGGCAATTAACAATATTATTGACGTTGAAACCAGGCGGGGTGGCCAAGTTGTTACATAGCTGTGCAGGTTGTTACGTAGCTGTACAGGTTGTTACATAGCTGTACAGGTTGTTATACAGTGAGGGCTCTATCAACATGGACAGCACATCAGATTCACCATCGGTGAACTTGACCAGCATCATCATTATTATTGCTGCTCAGCAAACAACAAACAATTCAGGGATTGCTTGGTCAGACTCAACTGCCGGATGCACCATCACATGACAAAACCCCACAGTGCCACTTACTATTACCAAATGTAAAATATTTTCCAATCTATGTCAGCAAATTATAGCTTGAATTTCCGTATGGTTGGATGTTTTTTCTGAATACACTGGTCTGCTGAATTGAGAAGACAAGACAGAAATAACCCATACCTTGTTATAGCAAAACATTACCCCAACTTATACTCTAACTTTTGATTTATATTACAATATGCGGCTATTTTATCTCATCCACATATATAATAATTTTTTATTTTTTCAACTAGCTAATAACTTGTCAAATCATGTATTGGTTTGTTTCAACTTTGTTTAAATTTTCAACTTTGATTTTTGCTAGTTAAATGCAGTACCATACAAATACAACATTAAACTGAGAAGGTATATGACATGATGTTGGATGCAAACATGAAGAAACCTGGATGTGTGACGGCCAGTGGTGCAGTGTGTAGCATGAGCCACCTGAGAGCCACATTGCAGTCCCTCAGATCATTCAACAACTTGTTCACATTTTTCAAGATATAATGTTTTGTTAAGACACCCTCTTGCAAAATGTTATCAAGAGTAGACAACATTGCCAAAACCTTGTTACTATGTCGTACAGTCTGTCCAGAAAATAAATAACAAAAATATTTATCTTGTCAAACCTATAATGATTCAACAGTTCAAAATACATTAAAAAAATAATAAAAACAGTTTTTATACTCCAAAAAATTAACAATATACTAAATGACGTTGCAGAAAAATGAAATAACCAGTGATTTTATATTATTGCTTTCAATGGTATCGTTGAGCGCCAATGTAGCAGCTTTATAAGGCGACCATGCATCCACCAAATTGACCATTAAGCCCATGTAAACACTTGTCACCTAAATAGTTTTATGCGCTTTCATATTTTTGGTAAAATTTCATCATTAACGCTTTTTAATCAATCTTCAAAATGAGAACATTTAACTAAAATAAATTTTCACTAACAAAAAATACGCTTTAGAAATAAATAGAACAAATAATCAACTGATCAAAGATAATAACCAAAACATTGAATGCGCATTATTGAGATTGTTATTCATATAGAATCAGAAATGAACGTGAAGAGCGAAGAAGACCTGTTCTAGAGAGAAAACAGTGCATGCAATGACAATCAATATTATTTTGCTAGTCTAGTCTAGAGGATAAGTTTGGTTGAAAATTTGAAGTGACAAGTAGATTAGAAGGAGGTCTATGCATGCATTACTTAAATTTATAAATAATGCACTGACGAATGACGTTTAACGTCGAAATAGATCTATCTGCAATTATTTTGATATGTTTTAAAATGTTTGTTAATATATATATATATATATATATGTAATGGAAATTGTTAGCTGTTAATTGTTAGAATAGATGAAAATCTTACCTAGAAGAGAGCGCCGTATGGTCACGTGGGTCGATTACTAGACCAAAGTACAAGCGCTTACCTAGTAGAGAGCACCGTGCATGTCTATAAATAGCCTACGCAAATAAGTTAAGCTCTCTTTCTTTTCTGTGGCTCTTGGGCCGGAGTTGACGTTAGTAAAATTGAGTATTGTATTGTTGCATTTTCGTTAATTTGATTTATTCGAATAATTATTTAGTTAGGTTTTAATAAAGGAGGATTAATAATATATCTGTCGTTGTGTTTAGTTAATATCGAACCCGTTACATTGGTACCAGAAGTGGGGTAGTTATTTAATTGGTGTACGACAATAATTGAATAATTAAATAACTAATAGGACGTTTTGACATTTATATAAAAAAATTAATTAAATACTTAGTCATAAGTTATTACATTTGTTGTACGTTTGTTGTAAGTTGAGAATTCAAAATTATAATGGATCGATTGACGAAGATGAAACAACAAAAATTACAACGTCTGTCGAACGAACAGATAACAAAGAAGCTACTGAAGAGATCAATCGACGAAGCCAGTGTACGATTGATGAGCAGATCACAGCTGTTAGAAATGTGGGCAACAATTTTGGCAGACAGCGCTGATTCTCCATGCAGTATTGCGGCGGAGGGTGCTGTGTCGAAAGATGCTGAAGGTGGATTGAACTTATACGAAAGGAAACAGTTAGAAATGGAGTATAGGCTTCGAGAAGCGGAGATTGGTAGACAACGAGAGAAAGATGAGAGGGAATATAAGCTCAAAGAAGCAGAGATGGCCAGATAGCGTGAAAAAGATGAAGCCGAATTCAGGCTTAAGAGTCAAGAATTAGAAATTCGACGACTAGAGGTAGAAGGTATGAATAATCGAAGAGTGGCCAATGATGCTAGTGAGGATAATAACACGATAAAACTAATGCAACAGACTCGATTTTTCGCGGAGTCGTTAAAACATCTGATAGGAACTTGTCCGTTAGAGCCAAGAGATATTCCTGCATTCTTTGAACACGTAGAGAAAATTTTTCGAAACTATCACGTAGACGGAGAAATTCAAGCCAATTTGTTGATAATGAGTTTGAACGAAAAGGCCAAAACGTGGTTGCATACTATTTCCGCCGACGGTCTGAAGGATTATAGCGAAATTAAAAGACTCATCCTGCAGGAGTTCAGGTTAAACCCGACAAAATTGAGAGATGAATTCTTCGCCCTGAGAAGACAGAAAAGCGAATCGTACACGAGTTTCGGGGCGAAATTATACGGCACGCTGAACCACTATTTTCAAAGCCGTAACATTACGGGATTAGAAGATGCAATGAAATTGATATGTGCAGATAGAATGAAAGAGTTGCTACCAAGACATACTCTCGAATTTATTTTGTCACAAGAGCAAGCAGCTTCCTGGATGAGTCCTGACGTGTTGGCACAAACGATCGACAAATATGAAACCGCCATGAACATGAAAGTTTCGAGCGACAATACATATATGCCGGAGAGTATCAATCAGATACAATCATTTCGAGAAAATGAGCACCAGATGTATAGAAGTAGCAACAACAAATCAGCTTCACCCAAACAAACCTGTTTTTCTTGTGGAAAGATTGGTCATATTGCAAAGCACTGTACATGGAAAAATAGAAATACACCTACGGCCACTAGAAACGTCATGCGCTGTGAGACGGACAAAAAAACGCAGAGACCAGTTGAAATCGAAACACCAATAAGAACAAAGGAAGTTGTCATTGAAGCAAACAAATTTTATGATCGCAAGTACATCGAAGTAAATATTAACGACGAGATTGATCAAAAGGCGTTAATTGATAGTGGATCAGAAATATGCTGCATCAGTGAAGAGATCAGCTGCCAGTTAAAATTACAGCCGGTAGACACTATAGCAATAAAGGTAATTGGACAACATTTCGACCATACGAAAGGTGTATGGATTCAGATCAAACCTACTTGTAAGGATAAGACACAAACAAATATTGCGCCAGTAGTGAAGATATATTGCGCAATTGTTCCCAAACTATGTGAAGGGCTATTATTAACTCCAAGTGTCGTTGACTTGATCGAGGAACCGATTCCACAAACAAACCTGTCAGAAATTGATGAATCAATGAAGCTGCAAAAGATGCAGGATTCGGCAAGTAAGAGAAACGAATTAACCTGCGATAACCCGGTGGTTGACAAAACCGAACAAGTAAATCCAGTGACCGTCGAAGTCAAACTAGTTGAAAGGGAAATAGGGAAGTCGGTAAATGAAGCAAAAGTGAAGAGACAAGATCCGACGTCTGACGTAGAAGAATCAACCGACGAAGACCAGGAAGTTGACAAACCCGATTTAGAAGAGACGGGAAGTAAGGATAGCGCGGTTGCTGAAAAATCAACACTCCTCGAAGAACAACTAGCGTGTGAATCATTAAAAAGGTGTTGGGAACACGCTAAAACCGGAAAACACAACTTCTTCATAGAAGAGGGTCTGTTGTATCATCGAGAAGAAATATTAGGACACAAGGTAAAACAATTGTGTCTCCCAATTTCGAGAATCCAAACCATATTACATCTGGGACACGATGCCCCATTTGCAGGGCATATGGCGTATAAGACAACGCGTTATCGTATCGGATTAAATTTCTGGCTTCCAGATATGACAGAAAAGGTACGACAGTACTGTAAAACGTGTGTGATTTGTCAACTCAGAGCACCAATTAAAAGAGATCAACAAGTTCCCATCACACCGATACCTTGAAACGACGAATTACCATTCAGTCATTTGGTTACAGATTGCATTGGACCGATGATCACGGAAATAGGACCTAAACCGGAATATAATTACGCTTTGGTAGCAGTGGACTTATTCACGCGTTGGTCCATGGCCTACCCTCTCAGATCGTTGAGTGCGAAGGCCACTTGTGAAGTTTTATTACAGATATTCATGACACACTCCATTCCAAAAATAATCAGCTCTGACTGCGGAACAAACTTCACGAGTCAACTCACAAAGGAGATGTTAAAACGGTTGGGGTGCTGTCCTAGATTTAACACACCCGAACATCCAGAAGCTTCGGGCGTTGTTGAAAGATGTAACAGAACCCTGAAGACGATGATATACAAGGTTGCCCAAGATTATCCACGTAGTTGGCACAAAGTATTACCATTTGTACTTTGGTGCTTGAGAGAACGACCTTCTGCCACGACCCATATAAGTCCATTTACATTATTGTATGGAACGTTGCCGAGAGGCCCGTTAACAGTGGTGAAAGAAAACTGGACAGGTGAACGAGAATTTCCTTTAAATGTTGGCCGAGGATCAGAATATCTCCAAAATCTTAAAAACAATCTGGAATTGGCGAAGAATTATGCAGCATACTATTCAGAGAAGGAACAGCAGCGTTACACACGTAATTACAATCTTCGCACGAAGGACAAACATTTCAAAGTTGGCGACTCGGTCATTATGCTCGCACCTTTGAAGATGAAAAGCAAATGGTATAACCAATGGCAAGGACCGGCGTCTTTTGCGAAAGTGAAGTCACCTTATTCGTACCTAGTTGAGTTGGAAGGAAAGAAATATCATGTGCATGCCAATAAACTTCATGGATTCCATAAAAGAATTGAAAAGGCCATGATCAATACCTGTGTTATTCTTCGAGAGAATGATTCAGATTTTGGCGTATTAAATATGTATGAAAAAGAACAGAAGGAAAACAAACAAAAAATCAACGAGGAGGAGATACACATTAGTGACCTAGAAAAACAAGAAAGTCGAGAATTGATTGACTTGATTAAGGAATTCTCAGCCGTATTCTCCACGAAAATAGGACTTTTTAAAGGAACGCAACATCGTATTGAAGTTAATGAAGGATTTAAACCCAAACGTTTAAAAGCCTACAAAATTCCCGAGTTACTCAGGGGGGAAGTAAAGCGTCAGCTCAAAGAGATGTTGGAACAAGATATCATTGTACCTTCGAACAGTGAGATGGTTAACCCAGTGGTATGCGTGTTAAAAAATAACGGAAGCGTACGTTTGGCAGTGGATTATCGTTATGTTAACAAACATTCAACAAACGATGGATTTCCAATTCCAGATGTAAAGGACGTACTACAAAAGGTGGGCAACGCCAACTTCATCAGTTGTTTTGATGCACGATCTGGATATTGGCAAATAACCTTACAAGAAAGTTCAAGATGGTTAACTGCGTTCGTTTGCGATGAAGGTTTGTTTGAATTTAAAAGGATGCCTTTTGGATTGAAGTCGGCAGGAGTAACTTTCACACGCGCCATGAAGGAACTTACGAAAGATATATATCAGTTCACAGAAACCTACATTGATGACATTGCCGTGTTTTCTAATAGTTGGTCAGAACATGTCCAACACCTTCGATGTTTTTTACAGACAATTTCTCATGCCGGAATAACGTTGAATTTAGACAAATGTCGGTTTGCGCAGAAGAGAATCAAGTTCTTAGGTCATCTAGTAGGATCCGGAAAAATTGAGGTAGACCCATCAAAGATACAGGTACTCGATCAGCTACAACCACCAAAAACTACAAAAGAGGTACGAAAATTAATTGCATTTTTTAATTATTTTCAAACATTCCTACCCAACCTGGCTGCAACGATGCACCCGATCACCGAGTTGACTAAGAAATTACCATCGAATTGAATAATATGGTCCACCAACCATCAGAATGCATTAAATCTGATGATTCAGAAGTTGAAGGATGCCACCGTATTGAACACCATAGATTACCAACGAGAGTTTGGATTAATAACAGATGCAAGTGAATGTGCGGTAGGTTGTTGTTTAATTCAATGGGGCAACGACAAGAAAGAAAAAACTATTGCGTTTGCTAGTCGCAAACTGACCAATGTTCAAAAACGATGGTCCACGATCGAAAAGGAAGCATACGCGATAGTTTGGGCTCTTCAGAAATTCCGATCGTGGATTTGCCTATCCAAAATCAAAATTTTTACAGACCATAATCCATTAACGTACCTGACGGAATCGACACCAAAAAGTTCAAAGCTTACACGTTGGGTATTGGCCCTTCAAGAGTATAATATACAATTCTGTTATCGTCCAGGTTCACGTAATGTTGCCGATTTTCTCTCCAGTCAAGAAATATTATTGTTTTTTTTTTTTTTTTTTTGGACATTAATTTTGGTTTTGTTTAGTTTTTAATTTTGTAAGTGTGATGAATGTTACATTCATCCTCCTAGGCGTTGGAGGTATGTAATGGAAATTGTTCCATTACATGATCACGTGGATTAAGTACTAGCACAAAGCACGTGTGCTTACCTAGGAGAGAGCGCCGTATGGTCACGTGGGTCGATTACTAGACCAAAGTACAAGCGCTTACCTAGGAGAGCACCGTGCATGTCTATAAATAGCCTACGCAAATAAGTTAAGCTCTTTCTTTTCTGTGGCTCTTGGGCCGGAGTTGACGTTAGTAAAATTGAGTATTGTATCGTTGCATTTTCGTTAATTTGATTTATTCGAATAATTATTTAGTTAGGTTTTAACTATTACGCAAATAATATATATATATATATTAATGATAAAATCACAGCATGTTCGGCGTTAGTTAACTTCTTGTTTAACTTTTCGATTTTTCTAACTGTCGATCTTAAATCATTCTCAAGTTTCTGGAATTCAAAACTAAAATTCTTGTTTGTTTTATGCATGATAGAACAAAAAAGCTTTTTTCTGTATTCCTATACCATCTTCGGTGTTCGAATTGATACGTTGTGTATGTGGCCAGATGTTCAGATATATTTATATATAGAGTAGATACTGTGTCTCTACTCTACTTTCTAACATAAACAAAAAATTTTGGTTTTGAACTCAAGAAACATGAGAATACTTTACAAACAACTGTTAGAAAAATCGAAAATTTAAAAAAAGAAGTTAACTAACGCCGAACGTGCTGTGATTGTCATCAATAATTGCATTTTTGACAGTCTAAATCCAGTATATATAAATATATATATATATAACTGCTATCACAATAAACTGATATTATGTTTATTTTGGAACATTTATTTTTTAGTACATTTTTTTCTACACATATATATCAGTTTATAATTGATTTAACTTTCCTCTTTATATAATATTGGTTGACCACTTAACAGGCTATGCTTTGGGTTGAATAAAAACTCGAAAATAAATAAGAAATATTTACCCAGTTATCTGGAAAAAACTTGTCAACAACTTCCCTCATGATGTGATGTTGGTGGTGCAGAACATCCGGTGCAAAGAACAAAACTATGTACAACATTGAGGCTTGAGTTGCCAACGCATTGCTTCGATGGTCGGGCAGTGGGTATGCAGAAATCTGATTGTAGACGTCATCAGACCGCAACCGACTCAAGACCATAGATACAAATGTTGAATTGAGAGACACTCGACTTTTAAAAAATGTGCATAAATTGTTTTTGTGGTAAATTTTAGTTGTTAAAATTAAACTAATAAATTTACTGAATTTAAAAAATGAAAGATAAGCAAAAAACAGTTTGCCAAATATTTTTGTCTCCTTTTTATTACAGTCATAGTAAAACTTAAATCTTGCAAAATTTCAAAAGCAACTGTTTATTGTTTATAATTAGTTAATAAATGTCATAACACATAACAACAATACATAATAACAACACTTAACAGCGACAATTATACAAATCACTCGAAAACCTGAAAAAACTTTCCGGGTAATCAGTTGGTCTCTTTGAATTTGGTGCCAGTGAAAATCCTGTTGCCCGAAGCAATTTGCAAACATCATCAAGGTTGGATTCTGATGACATTTTTGAGGCACTGAACATAGATAACAAGAATGTTTTCAGTGAAAAGAAATAACAACTCAGAGGAACCATAAGAGAAAATGATTGTAAATCACAACTTGTATTATATTATGTATCAAACTTTAATCACTCTACATTGATACATTATTGAAATCAACTAATAATGAACATCTTGCATGGTAATCTGATGTCCGTAATTTAATATAGTAATGTAAGATAGTAAATATAAATAATACATGAAAACATTAAATTGTATTCAATGGATTTGTTTACTAAAATTTAAAAAAAGTATCTGAATTGTGAGACGTTGTGTGAGTGAAAGATTAGAAAAGGAGTCCACATGGTTTATTATTGTAAGTAAACCAAGGTCGATAATGGACGAAGGACATGAAGGTTAAATCTGCTAAAAACTAATTTGGAACAATATTTTAATTAAACAGTCATAACTTTATGGCCTAAAATAAAATATTGGATAGGAAATTAAGTTTTGTATAAAAAACCTGTATCTATAGTAAGAGACGAGCATCTTCTCGCGGACCGAGCCTTCGAAGTTTTGATCGACGATGAGAAGCATCACTCCATACAAATATATTGACTCACACTGAAACAATAATGTCTTATCATCAATCAATCATTCAATCATCGTTTAGCGTCCAGAGACCCAACTCTCACGAGGTAGGACGTTGTTTTCTTTGCCATCAATATTTTGCGCCAAATTAGGCGATCAGTTGTATCCATTTCATTTCAATTTAGAGCTTTCATGTCTTGCTCGATTGTTTGCACCAGGAATTCTTTGGACGGCCTTTGGGACGTGTGCCAGGTACTTCAACATCTGCAAGAAAAGTTATGGCACTGTTTCCACTTCGTTTGACATGACCAAACCACCGCAGACGGTGTTGCCGGCATTTGTCCTTTATATCATCTAAACCAGCACGACGCAGGATTTCGGTGGATTTGATGTGGTCCTTCAGACTAATTCGTTGCACCCATCAGAGCATTTTCATATCGATCGTTGAAGTTTTTGTTCCAGTTGTGGTTGTCATTGGCCATGTTTCTGCACCATATAACGACACCAGACGTATCACAGATTTATAAAGTCTTGATCGTAGTGGTAGTGGGATGTCACGCCGCATCAATATAGAGGCAAGGAGATGCCATTTATTCCAGGCTGCACGTATGCGTGCTCAAACGGCAGCTTCAGCTGTTCCAGTACAATCCAGAACATCCCATGATATTGAAACGATGTGACTTTTTCTACCTTAATAGCTTCAAAAACATTGCTAATACGAATTGGTTGTTGTTGCAAGCAGAACAAAAAAAATTGGACATAAGATAAAGTACCAATTATTTTTGAACAACGTTTGTGACACTACTGGTTACACTGCTGACACTTGATTGAATTGTTACCTACACCAGCTTTACATACTGAACAGGGCCATCGTCCAGTAGCTGTGGATTGAATGGGTTCACCAGTGTTCATTGCTTTGGTTTTGCTGATGTTGACTTTGAATCCATGATCGGCCAGTCTGGTGTTCCATTCTTCAAACATCTGTGCTGCATTCTGCTCAGACGTGGCTGTTAAAACGATATCATCAGCATATATTAGATTCTAAATGTCATCAGTGTGTATCGGTTTTGTGATTTCTTCCATCACAGTTATAAATAACAGTGGACTGAGGATCGAGCCTTGGTGAACTCCAACGCCGATGTCAAATGCATCTGTGTTTCCAACCGTTGTGCTGACAAGAGTCTTAGTATTCGTATACATTTCCATCACCAGTCAAACAAGATATTCTGGAATGAGTGGTCGACGTAGACTCCATCTGATTGCTTCACTGGAAACTCGATCAAATGCTTTTTCAAGGTCTACAAAAATGTGTGATATTTGTTGATGCTTTGTGAGGTACTTCTCTTTGCAAGGTTATTAATATTATATTTTTTGTTACTTATGTTAAGGTTGACCTTACAGGCGTCGGTCTCGAATCTCCTAGTAATTAACTTGTTTTTTGCTGAATAAAAGTTCTTTCAATTCAATACAATTCAATTCTCTAGCAGTTGCCGAAGGATGTGAATTGCATCAATTGTTGATTTCCCCGCTAGGAAACCAAGTTGATAATTTCCGATTTGATATTTGATATTGTCATTTGTGAGTCCCTCCAGAGGGCCCTGCTGCCTTTCCATTCTTCATAGCTTTCAGAGCTTCTCTAAGCTCCTCTACAGTGATGTCTGGAATCAGACCTTCGATGGATGGAGCGTCAAAGTTGACATTGATGGGATTTGTTTCATTTAACAGACGCTCGAAGTATTCTCTCCACTGTAGCTTGATCTCATCTTGTTCAAGGACCATCTCATTTTTGTCGTTTTTGATACATGAAGCACCAACTATGTCTTTTTTCGTACGCTTTGCTTGTTTTGCTATACGATACAGAGATTTCATTTGTTCACCTTTGCTTTTAGTGAGCCACTCTCTGCACTGATCTATCCGAGCCAGTGCAACTTGACGTCTTGCATAGTTGTTCTACTCACGGAAAATTTTATGGTCATCAACAGACTTTGATTTTTGCCATTGCTTGTATGCAACTTTCTTTTCAGCTATTGCATTTTGTACACTGTCATTCCACCACCAAGTGTCCCGTTCATGCTGACGTTTTATACCAGTTTTCCCCAAAAACTGTAGTTGCAGCGTTTATCAAAACGGTTTTGCATGTACTCCAATCTGTACTGGCTTGCGATTGGTGGTCTAACTGTGTGGCGACAATCTGTTGAAATTTTTCTCGATGAATATTGCTTTTCAGCTTCCACGTTTTGATTCTCCGAGGCATTTGTTTAGACTTATGTTGTGACAGTTCGACAACCAGGTCTGCCACAAGGAGTGTATGTTGGGCGATACATGATTCGCCAGGTATAACTTTGACATTTTTGAATAGCCTTCGGTGTTGTTGCTTTGCATTCATTCTGCTTGTCTTTCTTTTTTCAGTTGCCATTCATTACTAGGAAGTTGTTCTACTATTTCACTAGGAGAAAAGTTTATTAGTCCTTCTTTTTTCCTTCTTTTGTTTAATTTGTTCCCACTTTCTGGAGTTGTTCCGTCTTTTCGCTTGACAGACCTAGCGTCAACAGCCAATTCACTGTCTGCATCAGCTCCTGTATCTATTGCTGATGATTCATCTTGGTTCCGCACCCTTGATGTTGGTGGAAAGAACACTGCACTCGGCAATAGATTTTGAATCGTTTGCGTCTTTCTGCTCAATTCCAACGCTTTCAACTTCCATCTGTTTTCTCTCCAACGCGACCATTGAGATCGCCTCCAATCAGGATTGTTTCTGATTTTGGTATTGTTGAGATGGCGTCAGAGAACGCAGCCCAGAAGTCATTTTTCATCTTTTTTGATTCGCCTGTCTGTGGTGCGTATGCAGAAAAAATAGTCATTGTTTGCTTTTCTAGGCGAAGCTTGATCCACATGAGTCGTGAATTAATCCTTTTAATATTCAGTGCTTCTTGGGCTAGCGGTTCTTTGACAAAAATTCTAAAACCATTTTTGGCCGTCTTTTGACCATTCCAGAATAGTTTATATTTTTCATTATCTGAGATGATCTGACAGACACCATTCGATTTCCATCGGGTCTCCTGAAGGCAGCAGATGTCAATCCTTCTACGTTCGAACATCTCTGCGATTTCCATGCTGCGGCCAGTCAGTGATCAATAATGTCTTAACAATTTAGCTTAAATTTAATTTCATTCAATAGGTGTTCTTTTATCAAATCTACATGAAATATGTAAATATTATAATAAATGATTTTATAAATGATTTAATAAGAATAAAAATAAAACTGAAATAGATAAATTTTATAATTATTTTCAGTTATTAAAACACCTTAGTATATAATAAAACTCTTTAACAAACTTTTTTATCAAGAAATAATTAATGTGACTATAATAATATTTAATCTTTTTAGTCTTGTGAAAAACATCTTGAAAATAAAATTGGTTGATTGAGCAATTGACTGATTGATAATTTAATGAATGATTTCTAAAACAAATAAAAATAACCATCAATTGCTTCCCATCTTCATTTTGAAGTGCCGACTCCAGTGACTGCTGGATGAACACTCCTTCATTGAGATCTTCAACAAACCTATTTTTAACGAGTAATTTAAAAAAAAATTTAATTCATATTTTGTCAAGTATAATCTGACAAATTTATCAAAATGTTAATATAACATCATAATTTAATGTTTCAATAAGAAATTTGCAAGCTGACGACCTGTTGAGATCGTTGATATATTTAGTAATGCTTTCAAACACTTGGTAGAATCGAGTCAGAATTTCTAAATGATTATCTTTAAATTCTTCATCCAATTCTTCCAATCCCTTTATTAAATGTGAAGAGTAAAAATTATTACAATTATCTGCAGCTTAAAGCATTCTTCAATATATTTTTTAAATAAATGGCCAGACAGAGTACGAAAAATTATTGAAAATGACCTGATATCTATAAAAAATAATAAAAGCAGATCATAAGATTCTCTAGGCAACGAGAATAATTTTGTGTCACATATCATTTATGATTTGTCTAGTACTTCTTTTGAGTAGATTTCATAAGCCAATAATGGTGTAGTGGTTGAGTCCAATAACTGTGTTGGTGTAATCAGGTTCAAATAAGACACCGGTACCTATTACATGCATGTGTAAAGTCTTGTTTAGCACGTACACTTATGCATATGATGGGAGGAAAGCCGAATCCAGAATTACTCCCGAACCTATGCATATGGTGCTTTATTAATTAAAACTCATTTATTTCAGTGAAAACTATTAATCAATCAATCAATCATCGTTTAGCGTCCAGAGACCCAGTTCCCAGAGATAGGACGTTGTTTTCTTTGCCATCAACTTTTTGCGCCAAATTAGGCTATCAGTTGTATCCATTTCATTTCAATTTAGAGCTTTCATGTCTTGCTCAATTTTTTGCGACCAGGACTTCTTTGGACGGCCTTTGGAACGTGTGCCAGGTACATCAACATCTGCAAGAAAAGTTATGGCACTGTTTTTACTTCGTTTGACATGACCAAACCACCGCAGACGGTGTTGCCGGCATTCGTCCTTTATATCATCTAAACCAGCACGACGCAGGATTTCGGTGGATTTGATGTGGTCCTTCAGACTAATTCGTTGCACCCATCAGAGCATTTTCATATCGATCGTTAAAGTTGTTGTTCCAGTTGTGGTTGTCATTGGCCATGTTTCTGCACCATATAACAACACCGGACGTATCACAGATTTATAAAGTCTTGATATTAGTGGCAGTGGGATGTCACGCCGCATCAATATAGAGGCAAGGAGATGCCATTTATTCCAGGCTGCACGTATGCGTGCTCGAACGGCAGCTTCAGCTGTTCCAGTACAATCCAGAAAATCCTCTAGATATTGAAACGATGTGACTTTCTCCACCTTAATGTCTTCAAAAACATTGCTATTTCGAATTTGTTGTTGTGGATTGATGCAAGCAGGACAAACAAAATTGGACACTTTAGATAAATTATCAATTCTTTTTGAACAACGTTTGTGACACCACTGGTTACACTGCTGACACTTGATTGAATTGTTACCTACACCAGATTTACAAACCGAACAGGGCCATCATCCAGTAGCTGTGGATTGAATGGGTTCACCAGTGTTAATTGCTTATGTTTTGCTGATGTTGACTTTGAATCCATGATCGGCTAGTCTGGCGTTCCAATCTTCAAACATCTGTGCTGCATTTTGCTCAGACGTGGCTGTTAAAACAATATCATCAGCAAACATTAGTTTCCAGCACAACGGTTGGAAACACAGATGCATTTGACATCGGCGTTGGAGTTCACCAAGGCTCGATTATTTGTCCACTGTTATTTATAACGGTGATGGAAAAAATCACAAAACCGATACGCACTGGTGACATTTGGAATCTATTATATGTGGATGATATTTTTATAGTCAACTAGCTATGTTACTGGTGTGGTCAACGTAGATCGGTTACCTGTCCTGCTCTCATCACTTATTGATGGCACTACAAAACTTTTTGGAGTTCCAAAGTTAGCATCTGGATTAGGACGAGCAGCTGCTGATGCAGTTTATGAACATATAAAATCTTGGAAGTGTGAATCAATGGTTATTGGCATGTGCTTTGACACGACAGTTCCAATACTGGAAAACTCAATGGAGCTTGCACTCTTCTAGAAAAAGCCATGGGACGGTAATTTATTATGGATGGCTTGCCGTCATCATAAGTTTGAAGTGCTGCTTGCCGATGTATTCAATGTTTGTCTTGGACCATCCACCGGACCAGAAATTTTATTTTTCAAAAGGTTTCGTGAAAAATGGACAGAAATGAATCACACACCAGAAGCCAGATCAACCCCTTTGATAATTGTTTCAGATGCAATTAAAGCATTCATCAAATGTCAACTTGAGGTCAGACATTCACGAGATGACTATTTAGAGTTTCTACTTCTTGCTGCACAAATAGTTGGGCTGCAGGTTGATGTAGCCATTCGCAAACCTGGTGCACTGCACAGGGCACGATGAATGGCAAAAGCCATATACGCATTAAAAATTAAACTATTATTCACCGTAAATAAAACCATATTTAACTTAACAGCTCGAGAATTACAAGGTATTCAAGGTTTGAATCGGTTTATCATTTGTGTTTATCTTCAGTCATGGTTTTCATGCAGGCTCACTGTGAATGCACCTGTGAATGATATTTTGTTGATACAGCGTTTGCATGACTACGACGATGCAGTTCTTGGTTTGACTGGATTAAAAATGATGCTGCGTCATTCTTGGTACATGAGTCCAGAATTGGCAACTCTTGCTCTTTTTTCATCTCTCCTGTCTAACAAAGAAAAGATTGTCCGCACAATACAAGCAGATCGAGGCCAACATCTGATGAAAACAGTACCACAAAGTTTTGACAATTTGCGTGCGTCTAAAACACTTTTTGAAACATCCAATATTGATGCCAGTTTTCTTGATGTACCTGTTGAAAACTGGTCAGATACTCCTTCTTTCCAAGTTGCAGCAGTGTTTGTAAGGAATCTGGTTTGCATCAATGACTCTGCAGAACAGGGAGTAGCGTTGGTACAACATTTCAATAAAACAATCACCAGAGACGCAGAGCAGAAACAATTTTTGCTTCAAGTAGTTGAACAGCATAGGAAAAATTTTGCAGAATATAATCGTGAACTGCTAGCTAAAATTTGAATTATTTGCATTAATTAATATTCAAGCAAACTGAAATTCAATAAAATCTTGTCTTTCAATCATTTTTGACCTAATTTTTGAAATTAAAAAATAAAAGGCATTGCAGATTTATATATTTTTTCACAATTATATATTTCGTTTCATTTGTATAAACAAATCATAAAACATTTATAATCATATCACACTGTATCAAAAGTTGGTAGCGAACAATCAAATACCAAAATCGGAAATTTTTGACCCCTTGGGGGACCTCTAAACATTGTCCAAATGGGCTAAAATTAGGCAGGTAAATTACTGTTACCATACAGACATATTTAATGGAGTGAGACATCAATATTTTAAAACTTCATATTTTTAGGACAACCTAATATATTATTTATATATTATACTATATACTATATATTATATATATATATATATATATGGAGCGGGCAATGAAGAAAATGAAGACTGGTAAGGTTGCAGGTAAGTCTAAAGTGGTAACAGAAATGTTGAAAGCAACAGATGATTGGCGAATTGAGAAACTGACGGATATGTTCAATATAGTAATTAGGAAAAAAGAAACCTGAAAAGATTGGGAGAAAAGTATAATCCTTCCAATATACAAAAGGTAAGGGAAACCCTTTAAACTGTAAATCTTATAGAGCAATCATGCTAATGGAAATGATTAGTAGTGAGATAAGAAGTGAGTTGCCATGGAAGATTTTAGATGCTGATGACCTGGTTCTTATGGCGGAGAGTGGGGAAGAACTGCCAAAAAAGCTCTCAGTGTGGAAAATATCCGGAAAGTAAGGGTTTAAAAGTAAGGGCTGGTAAGACCAAAGTTATATGGAGAGGAGGATTCATATACTTTTGAACGTGGTAAATTCCCATGCTGTGTGTTGTTAAGGAGTTGGAGGAAATTCAATACTGTGTGTAAAATGTGATAAGTGGACTCACAAACAATGCAGCGGTTTGAAAGGAGACCTCAACAAAAGAATAGAATTTGTTTGCGAACAATTTACGTTGAAAGATACTACAAAGCAAAATGGCTCTCAGGAGCAACAACAACAACAAAGCAAAATGGTGAAACTGGAGACTTTGGGATTTTAAAGAATGGGTCCTTTTGTTATTTAGGTGATATACTAAGTGGGGAGGGTGGATTGAATAGAGCGGTCCACAATAAAATAAAACTAGGATGGAAAAAATTTAAATGACTTCAGTGCTGTGCTCTTGAGGTATACCACTTGGCCTGAAGGTTAAGGTATATAAAACAAGGCTATCGCTATACACACACACACACACACACACACACATATATATATATAATTATATATAACAATCCAGCATATTTTGTGAATTCAGGTTTAATAGTAGCACTGCAATGCTCCTCTCAATGAAATATTTTATTTAATTTAAATTGAAAATTAAAAAATATAATAGTGAATCAATATAGTAGTCCCTTGTCTTATAACATAAAAAATATAATTAAATATACATTTAAATTTTAATTAAATGAAAATAAAAAGAAATGTTAACGAACAGGTTTTGAGATGATATTTTCTTCAAAGTATTCAGAGTTTTTGAAATATCTAAAGTCGAACAACAATCCCACATATTTTGTGAATTCAGGTTTCAAACAAGCATCAGGTCTGAAGACAGGTGGAATAAATTTTGATAATCTTAGAAGTTCAGCAATGATGGCATTACCCCATGATACCAGATTCAAAATCGTTTGACCACATAAATTATTTTCAGCTAAAAAATCCACCATTACCCCGATTATTTGGTACTTTTGAAATGCAAAGCCAACCAGAAAAACAGTTAAAAAATAAGTCACATGAGTTAAATTTAATAAAAGCAAATTAAAATAACTTTGAACTTAGCCTTAACGACCGACCTATATATTATGCGAGGAGAGATAGCGAGAAAGAAAAAAGAGACGCAGTGGTGATTATATGTATATATATATATATATATATATATATACATCAATCATTCTTCTAGTATGCATGAACTTACGCCGGATCGATTTATGTCCTTCTTCAACGACAAACTAAATAAGGTGATGGACAGCATCGAAATCAAAGTTCAGTCTAACTCGTCTGATTGCAGATCAAATCTCAGAAACTTGTTTGCAACATTTTCAGATGTTTCTGAGGAAGATATAATCAACATAGCAAAAAATTCACCAACAAAGTCTTCTCAACAAGATGCAAAACCGACTCACATACTCAAAAAGTTTATTAATCTATTTTCGCCATTTTTGACAAGCCTTGTCAATATGTGTTTAAACCAAAGTAAATTTCCCTCTGTTTGCAAACATGCTATAACAACTCCACTACCAAAAAAACACAATCTTGATGAGAATAATGTTGAAAACTATAGACCTATAGACCGATATCCAATCTGTCTTTCAAATCTAAAATAATTGAACGTGTGTTTGTTAAACAGATACTCACTCACCTAGAGAATAATCATTTAATGCCGATTTATCAATCAGGTTTCAGACAATACCACTCAACTGAAACGGCTCTATTAATTAAAGGTTCTGTCTGATGTCTATGGGGCTATTGATCAACAGAATACGTCTAAGATGATGTTCCTCGACATGTCATCCGCATTCGATTGTGTAAATCACAAAATACTTTTAGAGAGATTGTGTGTTACTTTTTGATTTTCTGGTGCTGTGTTAAGGTGGTTTGAATTGTATTTGGTTGGTAGAACTCAGCAAGTATCATTTGGTGGTAAAGTGTCCGAGGTCAATATAGTTTTGTCTGGTGTGCCCCAAGGTTCGGTTCTGGGTTCTGTCATGTTTCTTTTGTATACATCTGGAGTATTCAAAGTGATCGAATCATTTGGTTTCTCATATCATGCATTTGCGGATGACATACAAATCATTGTTACCAGTGAGCCTGTTACTTTCCGGGCCGAATTGGACAGATTGGTTGAATGTTTATCAAAGGTTGATTTGTGGATGCAAAACAATGCTCTTAAACTGAATCAGAGTAAAACAAAACTTTTGCCGGTAGGTACGTGGCAACAGCTTTTGAAGCTAGAAACTGATTTAATCATTATCAAAAACAGTGTCATCCCGTTTGTTTTGTATGAAAATTGATTCAGCTATTTTCAGGTTTGTGATGTTGTTATTGCAGTAAAATATTTGCGTGTTATTTAACATTTGTCGTGTTAAAGTGATGTTATGCTGTTGTTGATAATGTTGTTTAATTGCTCCATCTTGTAGATGCATGGTCAAACGTCTTAACAATGTGGTAGTTGTCATTCCAATATATGAAGCATTGTTGCGGTGCGAACATTCACCGACGGAGCATTTATATTCATATATTAGATGACTTTGTAGTAGTTGAGTAGTTGCAGGAAGGCAATTATTTTTCATGATTAGTTGGGATGTTTTTAAATTTTGATAGTAAATTCGAAGAACCACTTTATTAATTGGATTTGACGCTACTACGTTTCTGCGTATTATTCCTTTTAAAATTCTTTCATCTTCTTTATACGCCATTGAAAAGGTATTTTTGTAATAAAATATTATCTTATTTTTGTCATTCATTTTGTTGTTGATTTGGTTTCTAATGATACGGCTGTTGTTGTTGTTATTGTTATTACTGTTTGTGGTGAGGTTTGTGATGCTGTTATTATCAAAGTTATTAGACGTGGTGGAGGGGTTGCCATTATCTTCCTGTTCATTGTTGATTGGAACGTTGTTGGTAATTGCATTATTTTGATGTATATTTTGTGCATTTTCATGATATTTTTTGGTTAATCTATTTATGACTTGATCAATTTGTTTCAAAGAGTAATTATTGTTCACGAGAAGTTTTTTTATTCTTAATAATTCTGAGTTGATGAGTGTATAATCAGAGCAATGTTGAAACGCTCTGTTAACTAAAGAAAATATAACAATATTTTTATATTGTTCTGAGGTCTCGCTTTTACCATTAAGATAAAATCCCAAATTGGTGTATTTTACATAAACTTGCGTTTGAAAACCAATGTCATTTCTGGTTATCAGGACATCCAAAAATGGTAGCTGTTTATTATTTTCAATTTCATGTGTAAAGGAAAGAACTGAGTTGGATTTAAATTCATCAATTAGGTCCATCAAGTTGTTTTCATTTTCTACTATAATGAACGTATCATCAACATATCTTACATACATTTCGGGTTTGAGATATGGTTTCTTTTGGAAAACAGTTTCTTCTAAATATCCCATGTAGAAGTTTGCAAACATCACTCCTAGAGGGGAGCCCATGGCTACACCATTGACCTGTTGATACATTTTTCCATCAGGAGTGTAGAAAGGAGCTTCTTTTGTGCAGATTTGAAGTAACTGTTTTAGCAGATGAGGTTTAATTTTTAGTGGATTCATAGCACTATTATATACATAGTTTAAAATAATATCTACAGGAACGTTAGTGAAAAGAGATTCTACATCTATTGATGATATGATGCCTGATGATGATCTAGTTTTTAGGATGTGAATAAATTTTGATGATGAAGAAATGCAATGTTCATTTGGAATATATGGAGTTAGGATGTTGTTGAGCCATTTTGCTACATTATATGTGACTGTTGGTATTTGACTAATTATTGGACGAAGTGGGTCGACAGTTTTGTGAATTTTGACAGTACCATACATATAACCTGGTCTGTAGTCTCCAGTTAATAGCGGTATTTTATGTTCTGTTGAGTTAGCATTGATTTGTCGAATAATTTGGTTAGTTTTCGTTTTAAGCGATAGTGTTGGATTTTTAGTTATCAGTTTAAATTTAGTTTCATCTTTCAATATGTCATTTAATTTAGATAAATAAGTTTTATTGTCTAATATTACGTATAAATTAAATTTATCGGTTTTCAGTATTTTTATATTTTTATTAGTTTTTAAATTTTCAGCTGCAATTTTCAATTCGTTCGTCAACAATTTGCTATTACACGAATTTCGTCTTTTGTTAGATTCACTTAATAATTCATTGGCTAATTGTTTATTTACTTTCACATTTCCTAATTGTTCTTGTTTCCAAATTTCATTTATCAACATTTCAATCTCAATATGTTTATTTATTTGTGGTTTGTTTTTTATAAAGTGACAATTTTATAAAGTGACAATTTAAGCCGAGGTTCAAAAATTGTTTTTCATCTATTGTCAACTGATGGCTACTAAGATTAAGGAAATGATCTTGGTGTTGTGACAACAAAACTGGTCCGAGATATAAATTGCTAAGTTTTTTCCTAATTCGTTGGAAACAATGGTCTCGATGGCGTTCTTTGATGAAGTTGATTTCATTTAACGATCTTTCATCAGTCGAGTCACTTGACAATTTTATTGACGCTTCCATATTTTTAAAAAGTTCTTCTTTTCTTGATAACTCATTCAAGAGTAATGTTTTTCTGTTTTTAATACAGAAAAACAACAATAATAATAATGTTTTTAAATATTGTAAAAATAATATTAATAATATGTAGTTAATTAAATAAATTAATTCGGCTGAGTGTTGATATTTACCTTAACCATAATATAAACAATCTTGCCGTTAAAATTTTAAAAATCGCGTTTTATATTGTTTATAGTTATTAAATTTATTTTATTGGTTTTCTGTTTTAATTAAATAATTTATATAAATTAATAATTACTTGTTCCTTCTTATCAAATATCTTACATACTTTATATATAATGCACTGAAGATGAGTTATCTATAACTCGAAATAGCTATTTGCAAATTTATTTAATAAAATTTTTAAAATACAATAAAATGTCTAATTTCTCTGAAATTAATATATATATATATATATATATATATATATATATATATATATTAGGAAGAAGACCAAGTTCTATACAGTTGTTCAAGCTATTCGGTGGATTTTTTGAACAACTGTATATATATATATATATATATATATTTAGGAACGAGGTTTTCATTAATGTCCGCTAAATAATTTACATAATTCGTTTAATTCTCATTTATTTTAATTAAATTTCTTATATTTCATTGGTTTTAGGCTCTGATGATGGCTACTTAGCCGAAACAACGTTGTCAGCTTCTAATATGTCACAATTTCACAATAAATATGAATGTCAAAAACTACGCTGTGTTGAGTCCATAATAAAAAAGTTGATAAATGCAAAAGGGGCAAATAAATTTAACAAAATATATATATATATATATATATATATATATACAATATTCTATAAATTCTACCGAATGTTTGGCGTTTAACATGTTTGTAGTTTGTTTTTTAGATTTTTTTCACTAAAGTTTTTTGGTGAACGTTTAGTTTATTAAAATTCAAAATAAACTTATTTTCCGAATTCATGCTGCAAATAAAGCCATATTTCAATTCCGAATGAATCATCATCAGTGCGGTTGATGTTTATATAGGGAAATATTGACTTTGTCAAAATGAACTTAGATGGAAATTAGGTGTTTTATCGATGTAATTGTGTTAGAAACTTCAAAAAAATTGGCGCTTTGTATGTTTTCTTGTGCTTCAAATTTTTCAATTTATAATTATATGCCAATATTCACTACTGGTTCTTGACAAACACGCGCCCCCGAACACCGAAGCGAGATGCGGACATGGAGGGCAAAATTCGGAACTGTTCCGCCCAATTCGAGATGGTTAGCAATTATGAAAAAGTAAAACTTTATGGCGTAGTTGCAGTGTGTTAATGAAAATACAACATGCAATGCGCTGAGATAATCTCCTGCTATCTGAAAGCCTGATAGTAAGTTACGCATCCATTAAATATAT